CTCTCTCTCTCTCTCTCTCTCTCTCCCCCCCCTCTCCCTTTAAAGTTTCTAATAACACAAAATGCTGACACTTTGTTTAGGCACTTCAGTGAAATTTTCAAACTTCTCCAAGGGCACTAAAATTAGGACTATAGGAAAGAGCTTGGCTTTCTGTTTTCAAAACTTAAAAAATGTTTGTGCTATCTTTGTTAGTTCCGAAGCAGCAACCATTTTTGTAAATCAATTTTCGCCCTGATTTGGCCAAATTTTTGCACGTGCCACCAAACCTCCAATTTTTACTTCAAAATGTCATAAAAAACGTTAATAATAGTTGTATCGTAACCATTGAGGTATCATTTTCTTTGTTGTCTTATGTAGAATCAATATATAAAAATAAGAGTCAAGTACATTAAGAGAAAAATTCTATTTACCATTTAATTACATCATAAACGTGACGTCAGGAGTCCGATGCTTATTATCCAAATAAAGAAACGGGCACACTTTTCATAATAATGGTCCGATTTTCAAAAGAAAAACATCAATTTTTTAGTTATAAAGAGTTCTTTAACCTACTACTAGATCTAGGGAAAAATCATTAAAATTGAAAGCAGTTTCAATCTTACATGCATCACTCAAGCAGGAGGTTGGCGGGTGCTCTTGGTGTGGTTTGTTCCTTTTTTTTTCCTTTTAACAATCATCCGTCCTTATCTGTCCGCGTTCGTTTCTGTGTATGTTACTCTCTTATAGACTTGCATGTTTGCCGACAATCGTCTGAAATCCGACAATCGCGAGCCGGCCGATGCTATCGCTAGGCCCACCTGTATTAGAGCCTAGTCAATGTGCGAAGTGCGAGGCCTGGCCGACTGCCAGCACCCCCTTTTTCTCCCGTCGGCTTTGTCGGCACTTTCGTTTTCGTGCCGACCGCCGACTGCAGACATCGGCGTTTCCGACATAATTGTCGGAACCTGAGTAGAAATGCGAATACGAAAAAGGACGACGACCTAAATTATCTACTTTCAGTTTCGTGCTCGAGCGGCCATTTTGAATTTCGTTTGTTTACTGATTGTTCAGATCATGTGGATTCATTCAAGTCCGACTCACTTACTAGAATCTAGATCTAGATTTATATAGATCATTATAGACCTCAATGGAGGATTCATATTCCAATTCTATTGTGTCAAACCCTATCATAGGTTGTACTGTAATATTAATGTTGGTAAAAAGCATTTCATCAGGTGCGTGAATTATTTATTTATTTAGAATCTAGACTCAGCTGAGTCCCTCTGTTCGGAATTGGATGCGGATTTCTAGTTCCAGGCCTATTCCTATTCACTTGTTCTACAATATCTAGAATCTAGATTTATTTAGATTACTAGATCTCTATGGAGGATTCATATTCCAATTCTATTGTGTAATTGTATCAAACCCTATTATAGCAGTTTAGATGGAGGATGCTCCTTGTTTGTTTTGGAGTGTGGGTTTTTTTTTTTTTTTTTTTTTTTTGGACTTGTGCTGGCCCTTTTACATGAGGCCCGTTGCAGGTTCTCTTTAGGGGTAGGATTAGGTCTCTTCTTTATTGTGTTTGTTGGGGTGGTCGCTCGTTGCTCGGAAGTCCTTCCTTATGACACCCACAAAAGCTCTTATAGGGTGGGGGGGGGGGGGGTTGCGCAAAATTTTCAGACGATCTGGTTGAGGCTCACATGCAGGTCTATTTCTTGTAACACCTCTAATCTTCGGGGCTTATATGACCTCTATATGTGTAGCAAGTGCCGTTAAACCCATGCTAAAACTTAACTAAAAGAGCATAAAACACAGACTTGAAGAATATATGAAATTCAACGAATATGGTATAAAGCGGGAGATTGATACAAGAATCACCATAGGATATGATAATTACTGAGGGGCATCAAATACAGATATATGCACCGTGCAGTGACTCATACCCAGAAGAACAGCGACAATAGTTCTCTGATCAACTGAGTGATCTTTTAAACAAAGATGATGTGACAATCATGGGGGACTTAACGGCAGAGTTGAAACAAGGAAGCCGACATGGGAGAGATACATGAGGCCACACAGTGACAGAGGAACAGGTCAAAATAGCAATGGAGAAATGCTATTACAGTTGTGTACAGAACATGACCTCGTCATATCAAATACCTTCTTCCAACACAACAGGAGTCAAGTTAAAACTTGGTGCAAATGGAATGACTTGAAGATAGCATCAAAAATGTTGATTTTATCCGGGCCAAAAGATGGAAACTGAGAAATATCAGAGACTCAAGGGTGATTCCCATCTACATCATAGATTCTGACCACAGACCAGTCATCATGACTTTTGACACACCAAGCAGGAAAAGGCCAGAAGCAAAGAAAAGATGAGAAGTCGTAAATCTCAGAAACATTAATGACAGTGCCAAAGATAAGATACATGAACGTTTGAACGATGTATTTCACCAGTTGCCCAAACAACCGTGCGACTTTGAAGAGGAATGGAGCCACTTCCATGCATGTGTGAACAGAGCATTAAAAGAAGAGTGCGGCACCAGGAAAACAAGAGGGCAAAAAAAGAAAACAACTATATGGTGGAATGACCAAGTGAAGGAAGCCGTCCAGCTGAAGAAAAGACATTCAAAAAGTGAAAGACATCAAAGATAGGGGAAGATAATGTCCTATACAGAAAGGAACGCCGCTAAACATCAAGGGTACTAAAGGAAGCTAAGAACAGATCCTGGACAGTATATGGAGAACAGCTGGTAACAAAATGTAGAGAAGACCCTTGAGAGTTTTACAAGAGAGTTAAAAGCATGATGATGAGGGAAGAGCCATTCAACCCAACTGAAATAGTCAATGATAAGAACGGAAACCCCATTTTCAGAAAGCCAAATATTAAGGAAAGATGGAAACGCTATTTCCAGGCGCTGCTGAATCCTACAGGAGAAACAACACCAAGCAGCTTCTCACCGAAAGAAACCACACCAAAACCATCAATACTGCTGAGTGAAGCCCAACATGTCTTAAAGAAAATCCCCACAAACAAAGCGATAGGCGTTGAAAACATCACAGCAGAAGAGATCAAACTATGCGACCATATCGGAGAACTCTGGCTATGGAGGATATTTAACCTGGCCAGGGCGACAAAAACAACACAGAGCCTAGAGAGGAATATCCCTTCTCAGCCGTGTGGATATAATGTTTGCCAAGATACTAGAAATAAGAATGAGACCAATTGTAGAGACTCAACTCAATGAATCCCAGTTTGGCTTTATAAAGGCAAGGGCTGTACTGACGGTTTTCTTGCATTCGGACAGTTGTGTGAGACTGCCATTGGACATGACAAGACCTCAATATCGTCTTCGTGGACCACTAAAAGGTTAATAGATGTCAACTTTGAGAAGTCTTAGAGGAATATGGTGTAACAGGACAATTGCCGGAGAACATCATGGCACATTATAAAAACAGTCTGTGTGCCGTAAGATCAACAGAAGGACTATCGGACTGTTTCTCCATTAGTTCTGAGGTGAGACAAGGGTGTGTTCTCTCTCCGCTGCTCTTCATCATTTACATGGATAAGATCACGAAGGCAGTAAATGACAACATCATTTAACTGAATGAGCTTGTATTTGCTGATGACCAGAGTACATTACAGATGAAGAGGAATCACAAAAAAACGCACACCAACACTAATTAATGAGGAATCTAAACACCTAAACATGAAAATCTCCATTTCAAAACCAGAAGTTAGGAAGGCTAGAAGAAACCCATGGAAAATCAACATCCTTATTGACGGAACACAACTCCAACAAGTGGAGGAATTTAAATATTTGGGAAGCATCTTCACACAAGATGGGCGTATGGACAAAGAAAAAGAAACAAGAACCATGAAGGCAAATGCTGTGACCTTCCAGCTAGCACCCCTTCTCAGTCACAAAAACATCCCAACTGAAGTGAAATCCCAGCTCATCAATAGAATCTTCATACCAACCTTAACATACCAGTGCCAAAAATGGTCTCTAAACAAGGCATGAGAAAGAAAAATCAATGCACGCGAAATTAGGTGTCTTCCCAGAAGCGCCAATGCCACCAGAGGAGACCGCATAAGGAACGAGACCATACGTCTACCAGTACATGTAGTAAATTTATTAGACCGTCAAAGAGTCAAATGGTTCGGACATCTGATCAGAATGCCAAAGAAACAACTAGTGGTTAGAGCTTACCACACCCGCGAATCTAGCTTTAAATCAAGAGGAAGACCAAGAAAGACATGACTTTGATGGGGTTAAAAAGGCCCTGGAACAACGTAACTAATTAACATATTTTCACAGACGCCGAAACCTGCACCTCCCCTCGACATCCTAAGGATACCAGAGGAAGGAAAAACTATTGTAAAGTAAGAACTGAGGAGCAAAAGTGCTCACTTTATTGCAACTGGCACCTTTCTTCAGGGTTCTTTCATCTGTGGAAAAGTGTTATAGGCTTACGCTGCTAATACCATGAGTCGTGGAAGGATAGCGGCGGTGGCGATTATGAGAGAAAAAGTATTAGTAAGAGTTTTACGGCTCTTGCAACACAATGAGGTCATATAAGTGCTGAAGATTAGAGGTGTTACAAGAGAGTAACAAACATAAAAAAGAAGAAGGGGAGATAAGGACGATGGATGTTTGATGGGAAAGAAGGAGCAAACCACACCAGAGCACCCGCCAACCACCCATAGAGAGAAATAAGACTATAAGAAGGATAGATGTAATATAATGGAGAGAGAATGCATGTGAAGTTGAAGAGCAGGTACTGTGGGATCACATTCCAGTCCATAGCATTTTTCCCTTTAGTTCAAGCGACAAAAGAAAGAAAATCTGGATCTGTACTAACTATAGAACTAAGAAACTTTATCAAGCAAATAATTGCATCAGATACTTTAATAGGTGGGGGGGGGGGGGGGGGGGGGGGGGGGGCTCAGTGAAAAGGAAATACTTGGGTCTGAAAAGTTTCGTTTTCTCTATACTACCGAATTAACTAAGGCACAATGTAAGGTCAGTAATTATAAAACATTACCAAAATTGATTAACTTTTCAAACTGAAGTTTAAAAATCACTCAGTGATGTATTTCCCTGTCTTGTACATTTCAAACAATGAACAGAGGGAGCCAAAAGCTCAAGACGGAAAATGCGTGACGTCACGGCTTGGTGCGATGAACTGCGATGTCACGGTGGAAGGGTTTAGCTAGGTTTTCACGGATTTGGTTGATAAAAGGGTAAAACTTCACTAGCCAAGTTCTACGATAACCATTCAAACGTTTTCTGGAAGAACAAAGAATGGCTTACCAGCAAGGGTTTTTGAACAAAATATGACGAGAAAATTTATCAAAAATAATTGTCTTTTTTTTCAACTTGAAATATCTCGAGACTCATTAGTCGCACATCGATCTTGAAAAAAAATTTTGAAGGCCATCCAAAGGTCTTTAAAGACATGTATCGGACTTGAATGTTGGTCCCCTAAATTAAACAAAAATGTGGGCAGTTTGAACACACTGTCGCGAGGAGACGTCATGTTCAGAAACAAAACTCTATGGGACTTTCCGAAGCCGAATCACGCTGTAGGGAGCGCATTCACTTAAGTACCTACTTTGTTTATAATACAACGCTCATTGCATTTGTTGTTTGTGTGTGTGTCTCCAGGCTCTGTCCAAGAAGTATGAGACGACCATCACGAGCCTGGGCGATCTGCAGAAGGAAATCCTGGACAACGAGCTCATCGACTGGAAGAGAAGGCAACAGTTGGCGGGGAATGGGCTTGTCATGGATGCCTCTAGTGTGGAGACTTTGCAGCAGTGGTACGTGGCTTGTGGTATGTTATATGGTCACATCACGGCGTCCAAAATTCAGTCTCAGAGATCTTTTAGTTTGACCAGGCCCCCCGCGTTAGGCCAGAAATCGCCGGCAGGTGACCTGCAGTTTCACGCAACAGGTCGGGGATTGACCGGGGTCAACTCGTGCACAGCACTATCCTATCTTGTCCTATCAGAACGCGTTCCTTCCGTCAAGTTCATGAGCCGTAAAACGATGCTCACTCTACCCCTTGAATCTATTTCTTTGCCAATTTCGCTTCGTCTACGTCTTCTTGGTATCTTGTGAAAGTTTCACCATTTTTCACTGAACTGTTTGGGAATAATAACAGTGCTAAATTGTGAGTGTTAAGTGATCGAAAGTGCCATTGGTAATGTGATCTCTTCAAATTTAATTACGAATCATTCCAAAATGAAACGTTTGTGTTCTTTTCTGTTTGCGCAGTATGATAGCCATCAAATCATATTTTCTAATGATGTGAATTTTGCTTTTCCAGCGCTTTGCAGTGACTAGCAACCTGTTCGTGAATTGTGTTCCTAAGTAAAAAATTTTAAACTGCAATGGGTCACATATATGAGAGCCATAGAAAGTGTCTGAATTAACTTTGTCGAGTGTTTTGGTGTTTATATTTAACTGTCAAACAAAAAGAATGCACAGAAAGCCCTGATTATGTAAGACAATGGCAGGACATATTCTTTTGATTTATGGGATTGATGTGAGGGACGAAGATGAACAGTCGTATTCCGCTAACATTTGTGTCAAGTGTTTTACCGCGATTTCAACTATCAAAAGGAGTTATAGTGTTAAGTCACATCAATTCAAGCCGCGAAAAAAAAGCTGGTGTGTGTTTAACAATAACATAAATGTGAATTCCTGCTCCGTTGTTGGCATCGCTTGGGTGGCTGCATACAAAGATCCGTTTCAAGCAAACATCGCAACACTCCCCAAGCATACCTACATCCCCATGTATACAAGGAACTAACAAAACACAATTTGTACAGAAACAAGAAAATACTCGCGGGAAACAGCAAAAATTGAGGAAGCAAGTGGAGTGGAAGCAATATTCAATCGTTTCAATAAAAGATTTACTCATGTTCACACTGCAATATCACATCTCAAACCAGTCAAACAATTTTCACTTCCAGAAATCCTTGTAGCAATCGACAATTACTTGGCCGCATTCAAATGCTTTTTCCCCGCAAAGTCATCCCAAAGCAACACATATCATAACGACACTGTATTCCACACATACAACAACACGTGTTTGCTCTCTGACTTGGGAGAACAGAGCACAGAAAGCAGCCACCTATTAGCCATCTCAAAACTGGAAGCCAGAGCACGAAGGATCCCAACCAATATAGACATAATGCGTTTTATTTTTGTGTCACATCTCCTGCAAATAGCACCCTCATTGCGTGCTGCTGGAGATGTTTAGAAAGAAAAATTGTATTCATACTTTTATTCTGTACATGTTCATTTTGGGAAAAGAAATCGGTGCTGTATATTGAAGATACGTCAGTATATCATTATTTAGGAGGATACACATTTCATTGGATACAAAAAGCCATGAATGCAGGGAAGCTTTTTGGCTATCATGCTCATGACAAGTTCCAGGTTCGTTCTGGGGACAAAATTTTGAGTGAGTCAATTTCTAAACCCATTTTCCTGTCTTACATAGCAGTTTTGTAAATATTTAATCTTAGGCTTATAAGCTATTAGCCACTCAATATGTGTTTTTTGTTTTGACCGACTATAAATAGACATACATTTTAAGAGCATCTAATTCCAAAACGTCAGCAGCCATGGTATTGTTTTTTCGTACCAATAAAGAAGTAGAGTTGCTTTCTCTAAAGAACACACTTGTGTTCACGTATGATATTTTTTGTTTGAGTAAGCCAATAAAACATGTGTTGAAAAATTCATTTAATCAGCTACCAATTCAGGTAGCGGGAGGTCGGGTTAGTGACCTCTGTGTGACCGGCCCGCCGTGACCCGGTCACTCCATCGCCGAACCAACTAAAAGAGCAGTGTTTGTACGCCGTGACGTACCATTTGTCACATGTTTTGTTTTTTAATTGATGCTACTGGCATGGGGACTTTACAACAGTGGTATGTTGCGTGTCACTTGTCATATATCACTTGTCATATTGCCACAAGCCATATGTTATAGGTTACATTTTTTTTTTATCGATGCTTCTAGCATTAAGACTTGACAGCAGTGGTACGTGGCTTGTGATAACTCATTTTGTCACTTGACTCATGTCATATGTCATATGTTTTTTTTTTTTATCGATGCTTCTAGCATGAAGACTTTACAGAAGTAGTATGTCACCTGGCATATGTCACATGTTTTATGGGGGGGGGGGGTTTATGGACACTTTAGTGTAGAAACTTTACAGCTGTCGGATATCATATTTCATGTTGTCGACAAGCTGTCGAAATGTACTAAGCCCAGAAAGCAACATTTTACAGGATAGAGAAAAAAAACTTTCATTCTTTTAACAATTCTACCTACATTATGTATTTTTTCTTGCTTTTTCAATATTTAGAATTTGAATGTCAGCTTTTTAATGCTAGGCTTAGTACATTTTAGCTGCTGGCCAACAATATGTCACGTTTTGTTTTTCTGATAGACACCTTCTTTGTAGAAACTGGGGTACATCACATTTCTTGTCATCAGGGCCATTCCAAGAAGACCTAAATAATTATTTTTTTTAGTTTTGAGAAATTTGCGGAAAATTAGAACCATGTCCTGGCCACAGTTTATTTTTCAATTAACTCCTTCATAACTTATATATGACGTAAGCCGTTACTAACTTATTTTTTCTGATACACCGAAGGAGCCACGGTGCTACTGTGACATACAGCATTCGTCATGCCTTGCGAAGCGCAAAGACCATGGTGGCGAACGACGTTCGTCACAAGTTGTATTCTGGTAGATGCGCTTTGTAAAACTAATGGTAGATTCGCATTCAACGGTTTGTCCGTGCCAAGCAATTTTTTTCTCTTAGAGATAGTTGTATTTACAAACCAGGTCTAATTATAGGCACCTGACCACTCAATCTTGCACTACTTTTTGTCCCTGGTGATCCAAAACTGTCTGGTGAAGCACAAACTGACCCTGTGCCACAAAAGGCTTAACTCAAACCCATGCAGGCTTCCACTGAGCTTCAACTGAAACAACTTTTATCCGTGGATGGCCCACTTTTCTGTACAGACATCCTTTCCCGCTGGGTGCCAAGTTTACTTAACAGTCAGTGTCAGTGTGCTGTGGGAGATTTAAAAAAACCCCATGTGTTTTCGCTGTGATTTCTGTTGGGGGGGGGCCCCCGGGGGGGTTGACAATGGAAAAAGTCGTTCCCTATCTTTTATGGCTCCCACAAAAGCTTTCTTTAAATAAGTGTTGCAAATACATGAATAAACCCCTCTTGTAAGTTGATAAATAATTACGATTGGTTACGCTCATTCGAATAACCTTTCTAGATGCTGCTGTGGTTATGAACAATCTATCGTTAGAAAGGAAAAAATATAGGTCAATTTCTGAATGATTTACTCTCTCATTTTTCCTCCTAGTAGATCCTTGGTTGCTCTCTCTCTCTCTCTCTCTCTCTCTCTCTCTCTCTCTCTCTCTCTCTCTCTCTCTCTCTCTCTCTCTCTCTCTCTCTCTCTCTCTCTCTCTCTCTCTCTCTCTCTCTCTCTCTCTCTCTCTCTCTCAAACACACAAATTGTTCTGTAACCCATCCACGTCACTATCTCCATCCCCCCCCCCCAATCCATGGTGTAAATATGTCTCTCTCTCTCTCTCTCTCTTTCACTATGTCTTACTCTCTCTTCTTATCTCTCTCTTTCTTGGAAACTGCAATAACCCACCTGTATCTATATCGATCCTTCCTCCCAGGTGTGAATCTCTAGCGGACCTGATCTGGCAAAATCGACAACAGATCAAGCAGTCAACGACGCTACAGCAACAGTTGCCCATCAAACATCCCGATGGCGAGGACGATCTGCTGCCTAAACTCAATGACACTATCACTGGACTACTTTCTTCTATTGTCACCAGGTATGATGGGCAGACCTTTTAAATGCCTCCATTAAGGGACTGCTTTCACTCTTCCGTATTTTTACGGAAATCCGTACTTTCTGCCAGTTCCGTACTTGTTCCTCCATCATTATCAACTCCCTCCGTAAAAAATCTGCAGCAGCGTAGGACTACCAAAATTCTGTAGCAAAAGATCCGTACTTGCCTTCGTATCGTCTTGTTTAAGTTACGGATATTTACGGTAATTCTCTTGGCAATAAGTTTATGATATAGAAACCTGCCAGATAGTGCATTTCCTGCCATCGGCCATTATTCCGCCAGTCTATGCCCCATGCATTCATTGTGGGTTGGTCGTCAGTACCTTTTTACCTGCAGATTGATCAAAATCTGGCGAACTTTTTGTGCCAATTTCCTCCTTTCTATCATTCCCTCCTCATTCTGTCTATCTTCGGATTGTTGCCGGGTTGGAAAATATGCGCGTTGATCAAGTAAATTGACTTGTGATCTTAGACAGAAAATTACTGTCAGAAAGAAACTTTTGTGCAAATTTCTTGTCTAGATCTAGATTTTTAGATTTAGAGAAATTATCAGTGCGAAGATTCTATGGCACAGGAACACGATAAGGGCCGCGATGAAAGAAATTTGTGCTAAAACTACTAAAATCAAGAATAATTTGAAATGGTGTTCCAAGGTTGTGACATGCGACATTCAGACGTGAAAATTGAGGAAAATTAGGGTATACGCTGGGTAACTGTATTGTGAAGGTATATATCTATTCATTATTCCCAGGTTTGCCTTCTATCAATGGTGCGATGACAAATTAATTGAATTATAGTAGCAATGGAAGGGGAACATGCTTTTAAATATTGCCAGCAATGGAAAGATTAGATGAAGAAATCAAACTAAACAAAATGTTGGTGAAAAAATAAATGTTGTGGGTTGTAGGCAATCTCTTAGAACAGGCTCCCAAATGCCATTTTCAACCTTCTAAATACCCTAAGTTTCCATTTCTTCGGGGAGTTCGCCCCCTGAACCCCCACCGGGACACTGTCCCTGGTCCCTGCTCTGGGCCTATCAGACCCTCAGCAGAATTTTCCTTACTTTTAAGCTTCAACTGGTGGAAGCACTGTTCTATAGTCACTAAGTATGCGAGATATTGGGACTACTTTCTTCCATTGTTGCTAATTATGCTGAATATAAAGACTACAGTTGAACTTGCCATGGCGGCCACCTGTGTGATACGACCACCTGTACAAACGGCCACTTTCCATTCCCCCACCCCTTTGTATTTTTTTCTATATAATTTAACTGTGTAAAACGGTCATTCGTCCGCCGCGGCCACCTTATTTTATCAACCCACTGTCTAATTTACCTGCCTCATGCTGCCAGGCGGGGTCACCCATTGCCCGGCGCTTTGACATGAGTTTTGTATCAGCCCCTCTCGCTGTGGACGGGTCATCATAATTCATTCACCTGTGGATATTGTTAGTTCCTCCAATGAATGTTTGCCCAAATTGAAAAATAGGTAGGCCTAACAATAAATTTTCAACTGCTGGTGAGGGAAGCATGTGATCTCTCATAACCTATAAGCCCCGCCCACAACTCGTGCACAAATCGTGTGTGAGATGACTGGTCACTGTACTGTTTTGTTTACCTAATCTGTAACAAAGTAACAATGGACGTTGACGTAAACTTGAGATAAAAGCATGGCTCGTTTTCCATGTGGTGGCGACCCATGTGTTTGTTTTACCATGACACTTGGTTTTCATCGTCTTATTTACTTAATATTTCGTCTATTCTATTTTGCCCTTGCACAAAATCAGCAACAAAAAGAAAGCCAACCAAAATACACAGGTCGTTCAAAATGTTTTGCCTCCAGGTTCATAATTTCGTTTTTACTGATGCTTCATACAAAAGTTATATGCCAAATGAAAGCTAAGGATGTCTGCTACATGACAGTGGCTTTACTTTTCAACATAGTCGCCTTCTTTGTCGATGCAGATCCGCCAACGTCGAATAAGTTGTCGCATGCCGTCTGCGAAAAATTCATGTGGTTTTCCTCTGAACTAACGACTCACATCTTCTTGAACTTCATCATCATCTGCATAACGTTTTCCTTTGAGGTGCTCCTTCAACTTAGGGAAAAGATAAAAGTCAGATGGAGCAAGGTCTGGACTGTATGATGGGTGCGGTAAGGTCTCTTGAAATCTGAGGCTTTCCATGGCATCTTGAGTTTGTCGACTCGTGTGTGGACGAGCGTTGTCGTGGTTAAAAATTGCATTTTTGCCGTCCGAACTCGTGACAGCCGAGCTCTAAGTTTATAAGTTTTTTCGTGGTCTCAATATATCGTTCAGAGTTGATAGTGGAACCCTGTTCCCCAAATTCCATATGAATCCGACCATCGCAGTCCCAAAACACTGTCATAAGCACTTTCTTTGCAGATGAAACAACTTTGACCTTGGGGCTAGATGAGCCAGTGTGCCTGTATTCTTTCGATTATCTTTTGTTCTCTGGGTCATAATGGTGTACCCAAGTCTTGTCTCCTGTGACTAAACGGCGTAAGAAAGCTTCACCTTCATCGGTATAATGAGCCAGGAGTTCATCACTAACTTGACTTCGGTTCAATTTCAGCTCAGATGACAACATGTGGGGAACCCACAGTGCACACACTTTCCTGTAACAGATCATGGATAATACACAGGGCACTCCCTTCTGAAATTCCTAGCTTCACTGACATCTCTTACTTTGATCCGCCGGTTTGCTTGGATGACCTCATCCACTCTCTCCTGGTGTTGAATATGGCAGAGTTTGGACAACCACAACAAGCTTGGACATGCAAATCTGTCTCTGCTGGACTGGTTTCAGCGAACTCCTTTGCCCATCTTCAAACAGTACTTACATCTACACATGCTTCACCATA